AAAAAAAAAAAAAAAAAAAAAAAAAAAAAAAACCGTTAAATTTCTCATTAAGGTACATCTCCAGCAAGGTGCCATACAGAAAATTTTGGACTCTAATATTGTAATTAAAGAGTGATAAACAAGAGTAATGACCAAAATTTTAGCTAATTCTGTCGTCTGAAAAATCATGTTAGACAGGCCTAAACCAGCCAGTCGTCTGGTAATAAAACAACCAAAAAAAATAAATATGTAAAAATTAGAAATAAATGGAAATAAATTTAATATAAAACAAAGATGAAGATGAAAATAAAAATAAAAATGACGTCAAAAAAGAAGTTTTTTTTTTTAAATACTATTCTTTTCAATAAAATTTTGATAATTACAAGACTGTCTTCCTTTAATACTGCAACGTCTTAGTTGTAAAAAAGAACTATTGTAAAGAAAAGAAAAACTATGGCTAAGTGGCCCAACATTAGTAAACAGATGACAAATTCTTTAAATCCCAATATTCATGTTCAACACGTTTTTTTTGCTATTGTGTTAGAAATGAAGTATTTCGGCAACAACAAACTACATGATTTGCGTAAATGTAAAATTTTTTGAAACAAAAAAAGACCAAAATAAACGAAAAATTCCCTTCTCAATTTTTTCACCCAAATTTCTGATTAATATCGCAGTAGTCCAAAGAACCAACAAATTGTTAGAAAAAGAAAAATTGTCCCAAAAACCAGTTTTTTGATGTTCATTTCGACGAAACACATTTCGCTTTCGCGATGCTTTTGCTCGTCCTCCAACTTTTTTTTTTCCCATTTTAAGAATATCCTTCTTCGACAACGGCAACGAAAAAAAATCCCAACCTGTTCTTTTAATTCATTAAAAAAACAGTTAAAAAGAGTATAAGTCACACCATTCTTTAAAATTATTGTACGCAATGGTTTCCAGAACAACTAAATATTCCACTCACCGGCTGCTACCTGCTCAATTATGTTGAAACTAAATAACCCTTAAAATACCAAAATAGCCATGACAAAATTAAAGGACCCTAACAAGCACCCTCTACCTCTAGCATTTCTAACCTGAGTACTAAAGACACTAAACGAACCACGCTCTTTTACAACCCTTCAATTTCACTAACCACCTGAAAACGTCCTGTCACACTTAGACGCACTTCCTAGGTCTACCAAAAAATATTGCTTCGCGTCATCAACAACGAATTCATGACCGATCTCTCCCTTCTGCTCCTTAAACAACATTTCAAGTGATGCAAACGATA